ATATGTCTATGTAATTTACATCAGATATTTAGTTCCCGATCAATATTACAACAAACAAGTGTCCGATATATGTAATAATAATTGGATTTCAAACTTATTAGTTGTTTCTTATTACATCGAAAACAACAAAATTGTTTGTATTTTACACTTCTTACAACTAACACTAAGTAATTCATTATTATTGTGTTGTAAATAAATTAAGTAGTAAGGTAAGATAATTGTAAATATAAATAAATTTTAAAATAAATATATGAACATAGGATAGTAATAAATTCATATATGAGTAAGATGAAAACATTATATTGTAGATATGATAATGTATTTACACAATAGATGTGCAAAGAATTAAAACTATTAAACGAAATTCTAAATTTAATTCTGCCATCTAAATATGACAGTTGGTTTTAAATTATTTTGTTTCACCTTATTTGCAGGTTTATTTCAGTACCATTTTTAAGCTTATATACAGCGTGACCACCTGTGCTCTATTTCAGAGAACAGTTCTTTATTTGGACTTGTATTTGAACGAAATAGAGAACTGTTCTCTATTTTAAATTTAAAATAAATGATAGAAATGTTACTAAATTTATTAAATATTTATTTATCTATACAAAAATAAAGAAATTAACACTTTCTTGATTATTAATTGCCATTTTTTATACACTTAACACAATAAATTTTAATTAAATATNTAAATAAACTCTATTTTTAAATGTAAAAGAAAAATTAACGTAAAATATTTGTTTTCTATTTGTTCTCTATTTTAATAAGAATTTGGTCATATGTTCTCTATTGTTAAGCCTAGAGGTGGTCACGCTGCTTATATACCTAGTCAGAATATTTATATTTACATTAATATCTGAGTCTATGTTAACTTAGTATATAATTTTGAATTAATGCAATACTGCATCTTATTATTAAAATTAGAACTTGTTTAAAAGGACTCATTAAAACAACAATTGTGTGATTTCAGTGTCATTTAATATCATGGTCCACTTCTCCAGTCGTACACCTGATTATTATGTCACCACCATTTATGATAATAATTAACAAGTAAGTTCAACACATAAAAATTTTATATGTTTTGAACGTAAGTAATTAAACTATACTGATTGTTAATTAAATATTTATTCTAAATAATACTAAGTATTACTTATTGACGCCAATGCATATCTTGTATGCCGAGATCGTATAGACAATGCGGACACGGTGATATTGTAGGCGGTGCTTGTGGTCTCGATTTCTCGTTGTTCTTAACGTGAGTATCGCTCAATGTGTGCGGAATAATGTTCGGTTTTCGAGATTGAGGCTTAATGGCCATCAATGTGTGCTCTCGTGTGCACTCACGTTCGGTGATTATGTCAGATGTGCTCGTGTTCAGTGGCTGAGCTGATGTGGCAGTCAGTTTGAGTTCTCGTTTGTGCTTATGTTTGCGTTCAATGTTGTGTATGCGCGGAGTGTATGGCGCAGCGTTTGGCTTTAGGCGAAGGTCGGACTTTGCATTCATATTATCTACAATTTGTCTGACAGGCGTCTGCTCTCAATTGTGGCTACGGTTTCGTTGCCGAAATCGACCGTTTGTTTGAATAGGCGGGCGGCGTTCAGGCCTAACAGCATCTCGTGCTCAAAATCGTTGAATATGTGAATTACGATGTGTTTGCAATGACAGGCGTCTGCTCACCATCCGCAAAGACAGCGCCCGAAGATCAAGACAATGGCAACGACTGAACAACAATTCAATTGCGTGAACAGCAAACAGAGTGAAGACAAACGTGAATATGAAAGCCAACGGACCGACACATATTGCAAAAATCGCCGATTTGTCACATATTATGGAACCGCCGCCAAGAAGTCATTGACTGCTGCCCACTTAACTTCGGCTAAGTCGGGAGAAGTAAGACGAATGTCATTTATGAATGACCCGAATTGCTAATATCTAGAGTTTAATTTCCCTTTCCTTTTAGAGCACTTAATGTACTAATCCGTGAATTACTCAATAAATTTAATTGTTTTTAATTGCAATCGAGACGTGAATTATTCATTGAAACCATAAGCGTATCAATTGTAGATAAAGTATTTAAAAATCACACCATTTTGGGTCATTTGCTACGATTGTGCATCCAGTTAATACGCGCTAGTGTCAGTTCTCTGCACCAATGCCGTAGCATAAATGTTAATAAATGATGAGACAGAGATCGGCGAAAAGGGCAACAATTTGAGCGGAGGTTGGATTTGTGAACAATTAATATGTAAATTATTTGACACAAACATTGACCACATTATTAGGTCAGAAGCAGAGGGTGAGTCTGGCCCGGTTGGAGCCGTTGGCGAAGATATGCAGTGTTGTGGTCAACCATAACGGCAGCGGATCTATTAATGTGACCACAATTGAAATCCAAAAGATGAGCGCCACTGAAGTCAACATCGCATACATCGGTCAACCGATTCGCGGTCTCAGCAAAGACAAGGCTGTCATCACTCAGACATATCCGGCCGCCACTCGTGAGACCCGACCCCTCGAGACTGAACTCAATACGAGTCAAGCGCTGAATCCAATTGAATATCTCATACTATTGTTCGCCGCCATAAATGTGTCGCTTTTGCACAGTCTTTATGTCATTCCCTGTTCTGACGTGTTTTGCAAAGACTTCAGCGAAGGCTTATTCTCAGCCCTATTCACGGGTCTGACGGCCAGCACCGGCACAGCCATCGTGTTTGTCATACTATGTGTGTTGTGTCGACATGTGGTGAAGAAAAGGCTATACAAAGCCAATGGAAAGGGCTGTTTCCTTTGCGTCCGTTATCTATACCTGTTGTTAGTGTTGGCCATAGGGTTGGGATGCGGAGGATTCGCGGCATACATGGCCTCCGGGAGCCGTAAATTTGCCAAACAAAACGCTTCCCAGAGTTTAGCGCACGAAATATTTCGGTTGATTAGCGTTGGAATAGCTGTCGACGTCTTCTTCTTCTTCTGGATCCCAATCCTCTCAATAATCGCTTATTTAATGGATTTCTTCAAAGACGGCGAAGAGTTTAAGGCTCCGCCGCCGCCCACACCTGCGATGGAGGCCACGGTTAGGACCGATGAAGAGTTGGACAGCAATTCACAGAACTATTACACATCGCTTATGAAGAACCAGAAAGTGAAGTCCATTTCACAATACGCCGGAGTCAGCCCTGGAGTGACCGCCGGAACCAACGCCCACCCAAAGACAGACACTAAGGTTAAGAGCTATAATGGGAAAAAATTTAAAAAAATGCAGCATAGTTCATATAAAACCAGTCATTTTTCAATTGAAATTTACACTCAAAATTTTCAGTGTAAATTTTTCCCATACTAGGTTAAGAAAAAGGCATCGACTGAGTCGACCGGTTCTGGTTATTATAAACAACTCCTTAAACAACAGGAAAAGTGAAGTCAGTCTCACAATACGGTGGCGTTAAAAAGTGACCACAAATACACTGCAAACACACTTCCCGTCAATACATTTGTCTCATCAATATTTAGCACTTGATATAAAGCGAGCTTTTCTTTCACTTTTTTCTACAAAATATGTTAAATTATTTCCCATTAATTTTCAAATCGCAATGTTTTGAAAGTAATTTAAATGTGATTTTTTCAATAAAATTTATGTTTTTATATGTTTGTAATATTTATATTTTGTTTCAATTCTAAGTTATTCTAACATGTCTGTGTTATTGATGTGTAACAGATAATAAATGTGGCATATTAAATTTATATACATTTTTTATGATATGGCAATCAAACAATTTATATGTTAACCATATTTGAAACAAAAATCAATTAATTGTTTTTACAAAATGGTTTGATTATATGTTAACAATCTTTTCATTCGAGATATTAATAATAACAATGTTTAATAATTTGCATCACTTTTTACTTTATATTCCAATTTGTATAATAAAATGTTTTCGTTTTATAAAAACACATAATATTGAAAGGAATTTGCAAGTAATTACTGTTAATTAAAATTTAAATCAAATTATAGTAATTTGTGAGACATAAGCCTAATTTCATGTTATAAATGTATTTTTAATACAAATTAAAATATCATAATTTGCAGCCATTAGTTAAAGTTGACCATGGTGATGAAAATGATAAATCTGCACAATATCCAAATACGTGGTATATAATTATGCCCTTAAGTGAATTGCCCCTAAATTCTGTAAAAGCCATACAACTTTGTGGTCAACAACGGGTGCTATTCCGGGGCCCGTCGGGTGTCGTCCACTGTTTATCCGCCTATTGTCCACATTTGGGCGCAAATCTGGGTGTCGGCGGACATGTGGTGACTGAATCGGGCGACGACTGTATTCAGTGTCCATTCCATGGCTGGAGGTTTGGCGGAGACGGACAGTGCAAACGCATACCTAATCTCAAGAGTATAATTACATTTTGTTTTGTTATTTTCAAATAATGTGTGGATTATTATAAATATAAAGTATATTTATTTACAGACAAAGAAGTGAAACAATTAAATGCAAGCGTAAATCAATGGCCTGTAATTGAATTAAATGGTTTCATACATGTATGGTATGACCGAAATGATTCACAACCAACTCATCAACCTTTTGATATCAATACAATTGCCCAAATAAAGCATGCGCAAATTAATAAAATAAGCTCGCATCTTGTGTCTGTGTCACCTCGGGTATAGAAATAACTTATATTATGATGTTTTCCAAATTCACAATTAATCTATCACTTTATTACAATAACAGCAAATAATAGAGAATGCAGTTGACATGCACCATTTTGAATATGTCCATGATCGATTTATATCGCGTGTATTGACCATTGAATTCAAACATCGGGCCACTCGTGAGACCGCTTATATCGAGACAGATATGATAATGAGAGTGAAATTATTTGGATTCACATTAATATCTCTTAATTATACGTTTGTCACAACAAGTCCTATTCAAACAAATCTTATAATCCCTTGCGTTCCTCACATGATCGCTATGGGGTCAACCATATGTGTTTCACCATGGCAAACTATTGTAAACTATTATTTTATTGGAGAATCGACATTGTTTTATAATTTGATTCTCCAACTTATTTCTATTGTTCCTATTTACTTGGTATGTATTTATGGTCATTTTTACGAATGAATTAAATAAAAACCATTTTTATTTATAAATTATTTTGTACTCAGGTACTTGATGATGGGCCAATTTTTGCAAATATGAGACAACAATCGAAGCCTATATTGACTACAAACGACACGCTTATTGTCGCTTATCAAAGATACTGTAAACGATTTTATTAATATTTTTTAAACCGAACTTACAAACAAAATAATTATAATTCAAAATTTTTCTATATATTCCGTCAAACGATAAATCGGTGCCTTCACTATAAAGACGTGTCGATAGAATTGTAAAATTAGTTAGCGGTAGCGGTCATTGTTGGCCAATGACTAACATATCGTTATATACATTGAATAATAGAGGTCTCACAAGAGGAAGAGTTTTGATTTACTTCTATTAGTATTTAAACATGATCAATTTAACTATGATTTCAACCATCGGTAAATACAAAAACGGACCCCATCTCAAAGAATACATTAAAATGAATTAAACATTTTGAAAATGTCCTGTTCATAAACTATTCATTCAATCTTGATGAAACTTTGATTCTGATGCCTAGGAATGTCAACCTAAATTATGAAACTAATTTCACAATTTTATCTACACAGCTTCATAGTGGAGGCACCTATTTATCATATGACCCAATATTTTAATTCCAATTACATTAATATTATTTAAATGTTTGACACAATTTATTATTTTTCAATAAAAAATGCTAACATTTACTAACTTTATTTTGACTTTTGCTTGTTTTGAGTTAACAATATATTTAGCAATGTCCATAAATTTATGCATCTACAATTGATGAAATTAATATGTGAGGTAATAATTTATTACTAATAAATCACACACTAACCTATGTTGTTTTCTATGGGAAATGAGAATAACCATAACGCACAAACTACTCATATTTGACCGGTAACATTTAAAAGTTATGGGTAGTTGTCATCTCACAAATCTCTTGTCATTACTTAAATATGGTGTGAGAGGAACGGGGGTGAGGTGTTCACCGCTCAGAGCTCCAAATAAATATACCATGCATTTACATTTAATACAATTTTTAATGTTTGGTAAAACTAATCTGAATTATATACATGAGTGGTAAGACTGATCTGAATTATATAAATCTTTATGTTTGGCTCAGTCTTATATACCCTTAAGCTGAGCTCAAGTTTACAAACTTTTATAATTAATATTTACATCAAATGGTAATTTAGTATTCACAGGAAAATAACAGAACTTTAATATATAAATACAGAAATGATAAATACAATAATCATAATTTAATACAAATATAATAAATTAATAGTCAATACAAATATACATCATTATGATTATATATAGTTATTAAATGTCTAGTCAAAGTAATATAAGTTCAGATCACTTCAAATACTGTAATAAATAATTAAATTTTGTAAAAAACATATAATAGCTTATTAATCGCTAGTTCTTCCAAATAGCCTACCAAACCATTTTTGCCACGTGGTATATTAAATATCTAACATTTGTTTATGAAATCAACTATTTATCATTGTTGGTTGTACCGCTGAAATTATTAAAATTGTTCTTTGAAAAACTTAAATTAGTTTCCATTTTCCTCAAATATAATGGTATTTTAACCCATAACACCTAATCTACCGAATGAATCCAACGAATAATTTTGTATTATAGTATTCACCTATTTGATTCAACTATCTAAAATAAGTATATCATATTATATATGGAAAGGTATGATAGAAAGAAATAATATTCTAAGTCTTCCATAAATGAAGAAAGATATATTAAAAATAAGAAATTCATTAGCAATCTGGTAGATATTTATAGCGAATAACATTTTTATTTAAGTTCAATCATATACATAATAATTATAATGAGATTGATGAGTAAATTTTAATTTTATTGTATTGTTTTAAAAAATTTTATATAATAATGTTGTTGAGAACACATAACATTTTGATGATCTCCTACTGCTTTAAACATTCAATTACATTATTAACTTTACTGTGAGTTTACTTATATTTGTATATAGTTTGTAAAAGTTAGGACAAGGGATCGCTCCTACGAGTCCTAAAAAGGCAGCAAAAGGATTGTCCGGAAGGACCCAAGACTCAAATCGCAACCAAAGGACCATGTCTTTTTTTACCGATTTAAATATATGTTTATTCATGAGGCTATACATATAATTGAATTCTAGATTAATTTAGATTTATAAACTTAGTATAATATTAAATAAACATTAGTTATTTCATTAATCATTAAATTTTACAATAATTTACAAAATGATTATTATTTTTATTTTAAAAAAATGTTAGTATGTTTTGTTGCCAGAGATAGCCATTGCTCTGAATTACTGTCTTATATTCTTGTATATGATTTGTACGTTTATATGTGTTATCCATAGTTTGTTGAATCAGTTATCACTTTCTTTAGCCGCAGATATGATGGACAGGTTGTGTCAAACGCCGTGTGATCTGTTGACCAGAGATTGGATGTCTTTGTGTTGTTATGTCTGACACTGTTTATGCACTTCTTGGCACTATTGCACTCCCGATGGCTGTGATTGTCACCACAATTACCACACGTCTCACCGATAGTGTCTTTTTCTCGGCATTCACTCGCTTTGTGTCGATGGCAACAGAAACATCTGTTTATAAATAAATATTTACTAAATTTATGTGATTTCCATCCAATAAATACTCTCTTTAATTGTCTTAAGATTTTGAAGACTTCGGGATCAGTTTCACTCGGGACTATTATGTCTAGCATAAGCGGACTTATAATTGAGAAGTCCCATCATTGGCCACAATCTGTTCACCGCTCCTAAGGTTCTACACCAACACCGGGTGAACAGCCGTACCTCTACTTGTGGACCGATTACTTTGTCACAAACAGGACTTTTTCAAAGTGTGTCACTCATTTTAGTGTATTCCTATGGGAGGGGGTCCGTTTTTGTATTTACTGATGGTTGAAATCATAGTTAATTTATCATGCATTAATTTTAATAGTTTTAAATCAAAACTCTTTTTCTTGTGAGACCTTTGTGACTACTTTTAACTTTTTCTTTATGTCCTTATAATCATTAGAAAAGCCAATAGTTGTGACACTTTTGCTATACTTATCAACAAATCGACGCCAAGTCTCTTTAGTCACACGATTTAAATCGATGTCAAAACTCGTCAAATGATTGCAACATTTAATAATAACATCAATTAAGCGATTATAGAGCTCTTCATCGATGGACTCGTCATAAGGCATATGAATATCAGATTTATTTTGACATTTTTTGAGCAAACTTTCAAATTTGTTTTCATCCAATCCCTGGTATATCAATAATCTCTTAAAGTCTTTGCTTTGCCTATAAGTGAGTGAATACAGATTGAGACTTTGCACACGAGTGAAGACACACCTCTGGAACTGTTTGGACACCGATTGGAGTCTAATCTTCTCTTCAATTAACAATCCTTTTAACAACTCTTCGCACAAATCATCGCATATTCTGTCACCGAATGAATCCCTTTTGTAATTTAATTCAGTATTTGTTTCATTACCGAAAGACATCTTTAATTAATTATTTCAAAAGTTTACTTTAAATAATTGTATTTTGCAAAAGTATAATATTAAACAAATTATTGATTGCATTTCTATGAATGCAATTACTTTTATTAATACACAGTACTTTAGTATATAATCTTAATATATCCGTTGTTAAGCATTGATAGGCAGGTGTTTTGCGCAATGGTATTGGCAAAAGTTGATTAATGTTACGTTAATTTTAAATAAAAGACAATTTTATCATTTAATTAAATATATATAGTTTATATAAATGATAATATTTATATAAAGTAGATTAAGACTATAATCGTTAGCATTAACTCATCATTTATTTCATTTCAATATCCAATCTATGAATTAGTGCTCAAAAGAATTGTCAGAAGAATCGGAATCCGAAGACTTAGAACTCTCGACATATTTTTCATTTATAACCTTTTCTTCCAACAAAACTCTTTGATGTCTATCAAGAAAATAGTGGATATAATTAGTACTCGTCTTATAGACAATCATTTCCGGCTTATCAATGATATCCTTATCATTGGATTTGATTATCCATCGGTAGTTGTGTTCATCCCATCCCTGAAAGCCAATGGACTTTATTTTGTGACAATTGTCTTGTATTTGATAAAAGTATTCATCGCTTAACTCATCCTTTGTATAGATAACCAGTTTCTCGAGTTTCTTGAGTTTTATTATATGATTGATCCACAAATCGCTCTTAATATTAGCCACTCGTAAGAAAAGAGACTTTATTTGTGGTAAATGTTTGTCA